CTCTCCCGAGAGTTGTCGATATCCTAGTGATGAGACAAAATGCATCCCTCTATAATTAAGTGGAAATAGGATTAATTGCTGTGGAAGCCCCAAGACCTTCCTTGAGCACAGAACTGAGCACAAACGGGAAATCTCCCAACATCGTTGAGAAAAATTATGTCAGCCCTGGGACCAACTATACTGCCTGGTGAGACTTGTGCTGGGCTATCAAAGTATCAGAGTCTTTAGTTTGATAGAGACAAAATAAGATGAAAGGAAGAATTCTATTAACCCAGCCTCAGATTCCAGGATAGAGGCTGAAAGAAGTGTTATAGAAACCAAGGAAATAGCTTCATCTTTTGTTTTCCCTCCTTTCTGCAACACAGAGCAGTGGACACAATAATTTTGCTCTCCAGTAGTTTCCAGATAAGGGGACAGAGGCAGTGGAGAAACAGAAAGCACTCTGAAGGCAAATCATATCTATGCAGTTGGCTGTAAAACCTTCCTCACTGTTGTCACAAAAATGAAAGCTTTCAAATACAGAGGTTCTAGTTCAGTCACTTGAGTTGGCTGAATAAGGTAAGTAGCAAAGGAGCTACGAGAATCGTTTATTTTCTCTAATTACTGAATTTCAAACCTGTTCACCTCCTTTACAGATGATGCTTGAATTGTGCCACCTTCAACTTAAATGAGCACCCTCTGCTCTGGGTGTTTGATTTTTATCAGAATCCAGCCCTGGCACAGCAGTGGTTAAATGCTGTTTGGACAAGGATGGAGCTCCTCTGGATCTAAACTCCATGGTGGAGCGTTCACCACAGGCAATTTTAGCACTCTGCCAGTGCCAGAGGTACTATCACACATATTCCAACATTTCATTTAAAAACAAGAAAGCAAAGCAAACAAAAAACCTTTGGTGAAACAGAAACTTTTCATTTTTAAGAAGAAAATATGTTCTGACTACCAGTTACAGTCATTTGACATCATCTGCTGGGTATCAATTGTTGAGGAGCACCCCTGTCTAAGCTGTATTTTTCTTCAAACTTTAATCAAGGAGTCTGCTCCTTGAAACATCACAAAGAAAAATACCTCTCATCCCAAGGAGAAAAAGATCAAAAATAACCCACTGAGCTGTGATTGTGCCAATCTAGGGGTTTATGTTCAGGCACAGCATCTTGCACAACACAAAAAACTTCAATTTCTTCAATATAGAATCACACAATGGTTTGGGTTGGAAGGGACCTTTCAAGGTCATCCAGTCCAACCCCCCTGCAGGGAGCAGGGACATCTGCAACTAGAGCAGGTTGCTCAGAGCCCCGGCCAACCTCCCCTGGAATGGTTCCAGGGATGGGGCAGCGACCACCTCTCGGGGCAGCCTGGGCCAGGGGCTCATCACCCTCAGTGTCAAACATTTCTCCATCTAATCTGACTTTCCCCTATTTCAGTTTCAAACCATCACCCCTTGTCCTGTTATGACAGGCCCTGCTAAAAAGATTGTCCCCATCTTTCTTTCTGAACTAGAATAAAAAGGAGCTCTCCACATCCAAGACTTGACCAATCAATCCTTGCTGCAGCTGCAAGTAAAGTTGCACTGAGACCTTCCCAACAGAAGAGTTTGGGAAAATCTCCATGTTACCATCAAACCCTTTCAGATGTGGCCCCAGAAGGTATTATTCTTCCAGTTACCACTACAGCAGTATCCACAGCGTTCCACAGATGCTAAGTCCCAATATGACAAGGGCTTAATGAACTAACTAATGTTAAAGGGGGAGTGACTTTGGGCTGTTCACACAGGGTGCAAGCAGGTATGGTGTCAGGCAACCATAACCCACCAGTCCTTCAGTAAGAGCTGCAAATATCAAGCCAATAAACAGTTGTCTACACGTTTTGAATTTTTTGCCCCATTTTACATTACAAATTATGTACATCAAATTGACTTTCACAGAAAAGAAATCCTGTGTAACCTTCCTTTTTTCTGCTTTCCAAGATCTCTTTTTCTGAATGACATGGAGGTGCTGAAAAATCTTTCCTAAGCCAGGTCCTTCCAATAATGGGCCACTGACTCCTGCCAACTCTCCACACACCCTTCTTCGCCCACTTGCTGTCCTCAGAGGCACCTCCTGGAAGCACTGAGATAACTCAGGAGCCTCTTTGCTCTGCTTTGCTTTACTTACCAGCTCCTCAGCCCAACCACAGTACAGCAGGACAGGGAAAGGGCAGTTCCACAGCTCCTCAACAGCCTAAATACATGACTGTAACATTTTGCACAGACACCATTCCCCTACCCATCCATCAGTAACTGCAACTTCATCAGTTAACCTTAAACATGCAGGAATGCTGCAAATACTTTGTTTTCACATGCTGAGGAGTATAATTGCATTACAGAATGGTTTTATTCAAAGCTTGCATCAATTATTCTTCTACAGCTTGTATGTCTGCAAAAACCTCTTGTCTAATTAATGGTCCTGAAATTACTTAATATAGGAATGGGGACTAATAAAGATTGAAGCTAAAAGAAGAGGGCAGCCCTAAGTAAAAATAAAAGCGTTACTGAATTCACTTACTAGCTGCTTTTAAAAACAAAACCTACACTACAAATAAGGTATTTAACAACATACAGAAGTCACAAAATACAACGTGGTTTACACACAACACTCAGAGACAACTTTCCTGTCATTGAAATACAGCAGATGGTGAAAAGCATCCAGCCACTGAGTCTTCCTTGACCCAAGTACTTGGCATTTTCACCATTTTCTGTTGCAAAACAGAACATGTGTTATATATTAGAAAGATACAGGATGATTTAACTACAAATACTGTAAAATGAGTCTCACAGAGAAAGTTATTTGCTCCCCACCTCTCTGGAGAGCAGTTTGGTTTATAAGGGTGTGCACACGGGACTCTGCATTTGCTTCTCATCAGATTTGAGAATTACATGCTATTTTTTTCCTCCTTCATTCCTTTTATGATTCACCTTCCTGGCTGTGCACTTCTTGCCCAGTGTGTTTCCCAGTGGAGCTCTATACTTGCTCTGATTTTGGAGAAGCCTGCTGCCTTCTACAGCAGACCACGGGGCTTATTTCTGATCTCACATCTCTTTTTCCTTTCTAATATATATATAAACTTTCCACTCCTTGGCACTTTCCTTCTATCCTCAGTCATGTTCTGCGTGCCCAAGGGAAACTGCAATTTTGTCGCAAGCTCTTCTAGGTAAATCTCTTAGAAAAGTCAACCTTCTGCTGGGCAAAAGTCCTCGTGTGCTCTCCAATTTCTGCTTTGCTGCATCTGTGTAGTCACTAAGGGGTGTGTCAGCCCTGTCTCTGTGCTCTCTGCAGCACTCATACAGGACCATGGCCTAATTCTGACTGCAGATATCCTTCTTAGCCAGCACTATCACAGCCCTTACTTTCAATATTCTTCTGTTCCAGAATTTTAAAACCAAAATATATGCCTGGCAATTTTTCTCTCCACCACCTCCTCCCCAAAACCACAGATTGGTTTGGGTTGAAGGGACCTTTCAAGGTCATCCAGTCCAACCCCTCTGCAGGGAGCAGGGACATCTGCAACCAGAGCAGGTTGCTCAGAGCCCCGGCCAGCCTCCCCTGGAATGGTTCCGGGGATGGGGCAGCGACCACCTCTCGGGGAAACCTGGGCCAGGGGCTAGCCACCTTTGGTATAGTTTTTTCCTTCTCTCTAGCCTAAATCTCCCTCTTTGAATTTAAACCCACGCCCCTTTGTCCTGTTGCAACAGGTCCTGCTCAAAAGGTTTCCCCCATCTTCCTTATAGTCCCCCTTTGACATTTTATCCCTTTCCTCAGTTTCCACTGATTTATTGGATTCTGTTAATTACACATTTCTTACAGACTTGCAAACACTGAAGTTCCAGACTGACTTCATTTGTACCTTTTTTATTTTTATGTGAGAACCTTCTCCTCTGCAACTTCTTAACCTGATTTGATTTCTTTCTGCTGCTGCTTTTATCTTTCATTCTCATGCTCTCTGTCCCTGCATATTTAATCATTAACTCTACAGACACTGAAGTACTTGGGAGAACAGTCTGCTTGGAACAGTTTAGTCAAAATAAAAGGCTAGTGCATTTTAAAACACTTTCTGTTGAGAGAGCATAGTCTGGATTTGTTTTAAAAAGCCTAACATTTATCACACCAGGAGGAGGAATATTTTTACTCTCTATTTTCTAACCTCTTGAACTGTGAATCACATCCCTAATTACATCAGGTACTCCGAATACCTTGTGGTATGAGAAGCACTTAACTGAAACAATTACATTTGCTCTGCAGTTTTAATTAAACAATCCAGTCAGCCGAGAACTAACAGATTAGTTCCTGTTGCTTGCAGGAAGTTTTTTGAATCACTGGCCACAAAACCAGTTAACTTTTACCAGCCCAACCCTGGCAGTCAATTATGAAGCTGGTTTATCTTTTCCTGAGTCTTTCTTAACCCAGAACAGGTCCCATAAAGCTCTGCAACCTTTCCAGAAGTACCTCAGAGTAAAAGGAGAAAGAGATACAAAGATTATTTCAGATGCTTTCCAAACAATATTACAAATTAATATCTATATCAAAAGCCATAGAACAGAAGGCACATCAGCGTGTGGCAGTCCCTTTTAGAAGCCAAAAAGCATGAGCACAGGGACATGATCACCATTTTCTGGTATTAATTCCTTCAAGCAGATGGAAACTAGTAAACCTAAGATTGTTTTTTCCTCTATTTAAGACAAAGCCCCTAAATGTAGACATTCTTGACCTTTGCACAGTAGTGGAAAATGCAGTCAATTTAATCACTCTTCATCAGGAGATTTTTAATACTGCTTTCCTATTCTCGAGCCTTTCATTAAGTTGATTCAGTGATTTGAGAAGTACAAAATCAAGGAAAAAAGTGACATCTTAAAATAGCCTGATTTTTTGATGCTAAATGCTTGTATTTCCATAAACAAAATTAAATTGCTGTAACATAAACCCTTCTGTGCTAAGAAGCTGAACATGCCAAAATAATTTCCTTCTTACCTCAGCCTTACGAATACTCTCTCTGGCTTCGTCTATTTTCTGCTCCAGTTCTGCTCGGGTCTGCTCAGACATCACAGGCCCGTGGCATTCCAGCTCTTCAAGTGTCTGTCAGAACAAGAAAGCACATCTCAGACACAGTGAGTGTTACAAAGCCATTTACATCCTAAATGCTCATCACAACTCAGGGAAATACATCCCTGCACCAGGATGGGGGGAGCTGACCTCCTGGAAAGCAGCTCCAAAGAGAAGGGCCTAGGAGTGCTGAGGGACAAGTTGCCCATGAGCCAGCAATGGGCCCTCGTGGCCAAGAAGGCCAATGGTCTCCTGAGCTGCATGAAGAAGAGTGTGGCCAGCAGGCTGAGGGAGGTTCTCCCCCCCACCTCCACTCTGCCCTGGTGAAGCCACCTCTGGAGTACTGGGTCCAATTCTGGGCTCCCCAGTACCAGAGAGACAAGGAGCTACTGGAGAGAGTCCAGTGGAGGCTCTGGTGGGACTAGAGCATCTCTGTGCCAGGACAGGCTGAGAGCCCTGGGGCTGCTGAGGGGCAGAAGAGAAGCCTCAGAGGGGATCTGATCAATGCTGAGCAAGAGCTAAAGGGCCCCAGGGGGCAAGAGGCTGGGGCCAGACTCCTGTCAGTGGGGCCCAGTGACAGGACAAGGGGCAGCGGGGCCAAACTGGAACCCAGGAGGGTCCGTCTGAGCAGGAGGAGAAACTTCTTTGGTGTGAGGGTGGCCGAGCCTGGAGCAGGCTGCCCAGAGAGGCTGTGGAGTCTCCTGCTCTGGATGTGATCCTGGGCACCCTGCTGTGGGTGAGCTGCTGGAGCAGGGGGGTTGAATGAGATGATCCACAGAGGTCCCTTCCAACCCCCACCATTCTTTGAAATCATTGTTGGATTAGATGCTGGGTTGACCAACAATAGCCCACTCCAGAAAAAAAGATGATGACCAAGGCCAAACACCATTTAAAAGCACGGTGTTTCACACAAAAATTCCACTTAGGGGAACTCTTTTACATCTGCACAAAACCATGACACTGTGGTGTAAATCCACTCATCTACATGTTGATGATGACGTATTTCAAATGGATATGTTGCTCCACATTTATGTCAGGATGAAAGAGGGCATCTTAAACATGGAGAGTGAAGTTGCCATTTGTAGCCCTATGCAGGGGAAGTCAAGACAGGTTTCCTCCCTTTGCAGGAATATTGTGTCCAGAGGGGAATTTGGTGAATTATGGAAGACACGATGGAGTTCCTCAGGTTCATCTACATGTATGTTGACTGTACAGAGTGACATGAAAAACAGCAAAAGCCACATGAGTGCACAAATTGACCCCAGTTATCTGTAAATCTGTGCCTGGTCCAGTGACTCTCTGTGCATTTTGTGTTAAAAAGTCTTCAGAGAAAGAACAGAAGAAACATCAGGTGCTAGGACCATAATTCAGGATGCCCCCTCCTTCCTCTGAGGAGAGTTTTTCCCATCATATTTCGATTACAGACTCTGCCTGATGCTACACTTCTGGGATTTTTTCTGTAGAGTGACCCAGGTTCAGCAGAGGACAGGTAAGATGATAAACACCTACGCTGATCTTGCTTTTTGCTTGATGCCTTCTCCTGGGTAGTTTGAGGAATGGCTCAGATCTCTAAAGTGGAACAAGAAGCCAGGTCCTCCACTTCCTATTATACAGTATTATAGATATTGTAGTATAGACTCATCACCTTCAATTGAATTCAGTCTACGCAAGCTAGGCTTGACCTGAGCATGTGAAACAGATGGTTTTAGGCAGAAATCAGCACAAGAAGTCAGCTTGGGCCCCAACACTCTCTCTAAATAAGTGCATGAGAGTCTTGCTATATATGTTTAAGGAACTTGGTGACCCAAAGGCAGCATTTCTACTGGCTGACTGTATTGTCTCTCCAAGGCAGCCTCAGTGAAGCCCCAGTTAGGACATCCAAACACAGCCTTAGGTTCTTAGGCCAAGTATGGAGAAATAAATGTATCAATACACATTTAATTTTGTGTCTTACATTAGATGTAAGCGTGCATTACTCCTGGATTTTCCTAGTGTTGAAAAGACTTTTAATACCCAACTCAACAGATTTTTTTCTACAGGAACATACACATCATGTAGTGGAGATAAGGGAATTCCTGAAACTAGTTTGGACAGAAGGATGCTGTGAAAAATAGAGGCAAGTCTGCAAGTTATTTGCAGTAGAGGTAGAAGCTGTAACTTCAGATTTATATGGAGATAACAAAACCTACTCATGAACCAAAACGTTTGAGGGGCTGCTGACCTGGCAGCTTGAGTGTATCACATTGAGAAGGACTAGGATGAAAATGGCAGGTTGCCAGGGGAGATAACAGGAGAAAAATAATTCCTCAGTGCTAGCAGCAGCTCCTCTTTCATGCAGTAGGGAGCTGCAAGTAATCAAATCTGTGAAGCAGCGCGTTCCAACGCACCCGCTGGCTGTGGACGATGGTTTTGTGCTCGCGGGCCACGCGGGTGGCCCACTTGCGAGCCTCCTTGTTCAGGCTGTGCTCCTCAGTCGTGCCGGTTTCCGACTCCAGCTGCCGACTCTGGAACACAAAACAAGAGAAGAACGAGTCATGACACAGACCTGGGGCTACCACTGGAGACGTGATGATATTAAGGTACAGGGGAACTTTACACTAAATTTATCAGCCTGGGATCTTGCTCCATACAAAACAAGAGAGATTTAACAAAACCAGTTTTCTTCCTTATGACCTCTGTGACGGTACCACGTTGTGGAAAGCCAACTACGAAAGCAAAGCAGAGTTCACACAAGAATTCACAACTCAATTGCCTCAGGAAAATCAGAGTGCCACTGAATACCAAACAGAGTCACGATGACTGACACTGAAATACTGTTTCACCCACACACGGTACCAAAGAGATGAAGAATAGCCAACCAAGGAAGCCACCAAAGCTCTGAAGTAAACATGCATTAGAGGAACCAAAGATGAAAGGTTAAATGGGACCCAATGGGCCATTTAGGCTCATTCTTTGTGATTGAATCATAAACATAGAATCCCACTATAGCAGGGGCTGGAAGGGACCTCTGGAGATCACCTTGTCCAAGCCCCCTGCTCCAGCAGGTCACTCAGAGCAAGTTGCACAGGATCACGTCCAGGTGGGTTTGGCATCTCTCCAGAGAAGTAGACTCTAAAACCTCTCTGGGCAGCTGTTCCAGTGTTCTATCACCTTCAGAGTAAATGCTGACATCAAATATTTTAAAACAGGAACATTAAAGATCATCTAGTTCCAACCCCCCTGCCACAGGTGTGGGACACCTCCCAGTAGACCAGGTTGCCCAAAGCCCCATCCAACCTGGTCTTGAACACTTTCAGTGATGGAGCATCCACAGCTTCCCTGGGCAACCTGAGTCAGTGTTTCAGAGTAAAGAACTTATTCCTTACATCTAATCTAAATCTTCCCTCTTAAAATTTGAAGCCATTACACCTTGTCCTATCACAAGCACTTGTAAAAAGTCCCTCCTCAGCTTTCTGACAGGCCCCTGGAAGTCCTGTCAGGCCCCCAGAAGGTCTCTCCAGCTGGAGCCTTCTCCTCTGCAGGCTGCCCAAGCCCAACTCTCTCCTGCTGGGCTCCCAGCAGAGGGGTTCCCCCCTCGGGTCACTGCTGGGGCTCCTCTGGCCCCGCTCCAGCAGGTCCCTGTCTCTGCTGTGCTGAGGACTCCAGAGCTGCCCCAGCACTGCAGGGGGGTCTCCCCAGAGCGGGGCAGAGGGGCGGGATCCCCTCCCTGCCCTGCTGCCCACCGGGCTGGGGGTGCAGCCCAGGATATGATTGGGGCTTTCCAGGCTGCACTTGCACATTGGTGGCTCGCACTGAGCTTCTCATCAACAAGCACCAAGTGCTCCTTCTCAGGACTGCTCTCAAATCATTCCCACTCTTTCTATAATTTCCACAAGTGCATTTACACAAATATCTTTGTGGTGAGGATGTGAATCAGTCTCCATCTTTCCACTACAGCAGGTTTCCTAATCTTGCTTCTATATTTGTGGGTATTTTATACATTTACTGCAGCTATACTGCATAAGGATTTTGATTAATAATGATTCTGGAGAGAGTCCAGTGCAGGGCCACAAAGATGATGAAGAGACTGGAGCATCTCTCCTACGAGGAGAGGCAGAAAGCTGGGACTGTTCAGCCTGGAGAAGGCTCAGGAGGATCTGATCAATGTACATGAAGGGAAGGTACAAAGAATTCAGAGCCAGGATGTTCTCAGTGATAGGACCAGAGGTGCAGGAGGTTCCCTCTGAACATCGGGAAACACTTTTTCATTGGATAAGTGACTGAGTACTGGCACAGGTTGTCCAGAGAGGTGATGGAGTCTCCATCCTTGCAGACACTCAAAAGCCACCTGGGCGACTGGGCCAGATGACATGTTGCTCAGCCTGGAGGACAGAAGACTCCAGGGAACCTTATTGTGGCTTTTCAGTACTTCAAGGGGGTTTTAATACTTACTTATATATAAAATACATGTATTTATATAGCTATAGAATATTTATGTTGATATATAAGTAAGTATTATAACACTTATACTTTCTGTAAAGAAGAAGGCGACAATCTTTTGAGCAGGGCCTGTTGAAACAGATCAAGGGGGGATGGTTTGAAACTGAAATAGGGGATATTATATAGAAGGAAGAAATGTTTGATGCTGAGGGTGCTGAGCCCCTGGCCCAGGTTGCCCCAAGAGGTGGTCGCTGCCCCATCCCTGGAACCATTCCAGGGGAGGTTGGCCGGGGCTCTGAGCAACCTGCTCTAGTTGCAGATGTCCCTGCTCCCTGCAGGGGGGTTGGACTCAATGACCTTGAAAGGTCCCTCCCAACCCAAACCATTTTGTGATTCTATGATCTCCAGAAGTCCCTTTCAACCTCAGTCTGTGAGGGTTTTTTTTTTTGTTTGTTTTTTTTTTTTTGGGTTTTTTTTTTTTTTTTTTTTTTTTTTTTTTTTTTTTTTTCCCCCTTCACCAGTCTCATACTTTTCCCACCAGTAAAATTAACTTTTAGAAGACATTATATTGACTCCATCTTCCCAGGGTGGGCTCCTGGCACAACAAAACTCGTTCTTACAACACACATTTCAGTGTTTTCTCCACTTGAAGTGAAACAACATTCCAAAGGGGATCCTCAAGAACAATTCCTTTTCCTGGAGAACTTGGCTGACCCAAGCACAGCTCCCCACTGAGAGTCACTACAGCCCAGAGACACCCTGCATTCTTTATTATTACACGACAAATTATAAAAAGGGTCAGATACAATCTTGCCCAACCTTTGAGATTAAAGAAAAAAAATCCCCTTATAAGTTATCACTCAAGAAGAGAGATTGTGCTTGGTGCTGTTCAAAACAAACAGCCACTGTGTACGCACAAGTGAAAGAAATGATTGTTTCATGAATCTTTCACTCTCTGTGGTTCAAAAGACAGGATTTTGCTTCATCAGGTGCAGTTTGAAATTCGAGATGATCCCACAGGATGAAAAGAAAAAAAAAACATCTTTAGGAAGGAGAAATTCAAGGTGAGCCAGCAGGAAAAGTGTAAGAGAGCAGGAAGACAAGGAATTATTTCCAGGCTAGGTGAGAAGACTCCAGCTGAGGCAGGAGAAGAGATGGTGTTAGCAGGTATTTTAGCAGGCAGAGTGGCACCATTTGTGTCAAGGGCAGAAGATAATTTTAATACCAGCATTTGGTACAGACTGGAGTAAAAGCAAGACTGGGAAGCAACCCCAAATGATACTGAAAGCAATGTTTTTATGCCTTTAGATTACACTGTCCTCATGGGAGAGGCAATAATACTAACTTCTGCCAACATCCTATCAGAGGATTTAATTGAAAATGAGGCAAAAATGGGTTTGGCTTGTTATTTTGTTCAGCTAAGCTTCTTTTCATCAAAATTGAATCTGGCCTTTATTCTTGTTCATCCTCTTATTACAAGAGAGCTTAGGGTAGTGGCTTCAAGGGGTTGTGAAAGATGATTTCCAGTGGTAGAGGCAAGCAAGGGAGAGGAAGACATCACCTACACACACACACATACTCCCACCATGGGGCTCTGAAACACAGGTAATGCTTCAGGCAACTACTTGGCAACTTTCTGCCTTTCTTTCAAGAAGCTGTAATTCAACACATCATCCTCATCATCACTGAATCATCACTGAATGGTTTGGGTTGGAAGGAACCTTAAAGATCATCTAGTTCCAACTCCTCTGCCATGGGCAGGGACATCTCCCACTAGAGCAGGTTGCTCAAAGTCCCACTCAACCTGGCCTTGAACAATTCCAGGGATAAGGCACCCACAACTTCCCTGGTCAACTTGTGTCAGTGTGTCACCACCCTCAAGAGTGGAGGACTTCTTCCTCATATCTAATCTACATCTACCTTCTTTCAGTTTGAAACCACTGCCCCTTGTCCTATCACTACCCTCCCTGATACACAGTCCCTCCTCAGCTTTCCTGTAGGCTTGCAGTGCTTCAACTTGTCTCTACAGAATTCCTTAAGACATCAAAAGAGGGGCAGAGGGGAGGGAGCATAGAATCACAGAATCTTTGGGGTTAAAAGAGACCTTTCAAGGTCATCCAGTCCAACCCCCCTGCAGGGAGCAGGGACATCTGCAACTAGAGCAGGTTGCTCAGAGCCCTGGCCAACCTCCCCTGGAATGGTTCCAGGGATGGGGTAGGGACCACCTCTTGGGGCAACCTGGGCCAGCATCTCACAACTCCCATTTGAAAAAATATCCTCCTTCTCTCCATTCTAATCCTACCCTCTTTTAGATTAAAATCTGATTAGTTTTTAGCTTAAAGCATCTCTGTGTTGCTCATAGTGACCAAAAAAAGCAACCCAAGTGACTTTTACAATCCAGGATAAGATTTCAGGATATTTTATCTCAAAGTCAGAAACAAACATCTCCATGAAGTTCATCCACTGGAGTGGGATGGAGCCACAAAGCTCCTGTTAATGATGTTTTCAAAGGAAAAGGAATCATCAGGTAAGATGTAGAGCAGCTCAGAAGAGGGGAGGTAAGTTTTAAGCCTGGGGCATGAACAGGTAGGAAGGAAAAGCAAAGAATTTTGATTAATTTAATACTACCAAGCAAACAACCACCAGATATAGCTGTCTTCATCCATCCTCTCCATTTAAATATTGTTGGCTTTTGGTTGCTTTTATTGATGTGGCTTTATAGGCTCATGGTTCTTCCTTACTGTTGGATCTCTTTCATTACCCATGTTAAGCTACTCCACTAGGTCACTGCAAAACGTAAAGAGGACAAACACATGGATATATTCAGCTACATCCAATCCGTAATATAACATTTGACCTCAGGTTTTTCCCAACTTGTTGGAGTAAGCATTTTTGTACAGCTTCTTCCACAGCTTCCAGCTGAGTCTTAACAGCTCCAAATCTGAGTGGAATCATTTGACATTGCCTCTCCCCTATAAAACATCTCAGAACGAATTCTCAGTGTTCCCATCAGTCTTGCTCTTGCTCCTGCTCAGCATCTCATTTTCATTAAGAAAGAGCACAGGCTTCAGTCGCTTGATAACCT